CTGCCCCCGGCGCAGAATCCGCCTAAGGCCGCCACCGCATTGAGAATGATTCTAATTATGCCCAATTTTACTTCTGCCATGCTCCAGGCAACATACCCACCTAACCTAGAACAATCTCAAGTGGACATGAAAATTAGACTTCTGATACTTTTCATTTTTGCCTGATATTTTGCAATTCCTGATCATTAAGACGTACACGTTCCTAGGAAAACCAGTTACTAGGATGGTTCCTATTAATTACATTATATGCCTAAGTGAATTACTTTTTTGGGCCACAGCTGAAATTTTAACAATAGCTTAATGATACTAATTTAATTTTAAAGGAGACTTCTATTTCTTGATGCTCACTAGCATAATGCAGGATTACTGGAAAAACAGGAAACTCCAAGGAAGAAAATTAGATTTTTTTTTTTTTGCTTGAGAGGCATGATTGATGCTGACGAATATGAAAGAAAATTCCTAAATAACCTGAGTGCTGTTTTACAGGCAAGCTGCTGACTTTATCACTCTCTCCTACCAACACACACAGGGGTGCCTGTTAAAAGTGACAGCTTTACCCTCATGGTCAGTGGCAATGCTGAGCTTTCCAGTGTCTGTAGCATCCCAGGGCAGTCAGAAACCCACTCCAGGGAGGGCCGTGAAACTGTGGCTGCCAGCTGTCTTCCCGTTCCCGGGAGATGCTCCCAGTGGCAGCGGAACTCCCAGGCGTGGTCCTGACGCGTCTTCTAGGTTAACGGCAGCCTGGCCCTCCCCTGGCCGCCCCTTCTCTGTGGGACCCGGCCGGAGGCTAACAAAACCCTCAGACTGGGAACCATTGTACAGTCTCCGCCTCCCCTGAAGCCCCCCGGTGTCCACAGTTCTCATTTGGTGACCACAGATGAGAGCCAACCGTCTTGCACCAGCATCATCATCGATGCATTCATTTATTTTTAGGAAAGAAAAAACGTATTTTTTTGGAATCAAACCTAGTCACTTTTAATAGTTATTGTTGAGCAATGTGGGCACTGTTGACCGTTCTTTGCTTTCCCTCCCAGTCCCGTCTTGTATCTTGCACTTTTGATATTGTTAATATCCTTAGTCAAGGAATCAACACCTGCCTGGCCAGCAGGGCTCAGTGGCTGAGCACTGCCTATGACCCAGGAGGTCACGGTTTGATTCTGTGGTCAGAGCACATGACTGGGTTGCTGGTTCGAACCCCAGTGTGGGGTGTGCAGGAGGCAGCCGATCCATGATTCTCTCTCACCATTGATGTTTCTCTCTCTCTCTCTCTTCCTCTCCCTTCCTCTCTGAAATCAATAAAAAATATATATATATTTTAAAAAGGAATTAACACCCGATGAATCAGAAACACAGAAATGCATGCTGGTGACCTTATTACTATGTCGCATCATGCGTTACAGGGGCCTGAGGCCCCCAGGCCAACCTGCGGTTCTCGGCGTGACCTCTAAGGTCGACTGTGACATGCTGCATCCCCTCACCGGCATCATTCCCTCCCATCAAACACAGACATCTCCCATCCTCCCACCCTCACCTCGCGGCGTCCCCATCCTGCCAGCACCGCCAGGCCCGTGTCTGCCGTGCAGGTGGCCCATCTGCCCTTCCCCCCGACCCCCCGCGCGGCTGTACTGCGCCATCTCAGATCCACGTTATGGAGACGCAGGCGCTGGGGCTCTGGGAGCCGCCGCAGGAGCAGCCAGGAGGGCGTGTTTCAGGAGGAGGCTTAGGCTCAGGGTGCTTCAGAGGGACAACCCCGTCTGCTCTCACACAGGGGCTGCCGGGCCTCAGATCCCTTTCCCATTTCACACTCACAGGGGGCGGGGAGGGGGGGGCTTGTCATTCACGTTGCCCCGACCGCTCACTTCTGGCGACCTGTTTCTCAGCAAATGCATTCCACACCTTTTCACCCCAAACGACTTCTTTGACATCATCAGCGACTGAGACCATTTGGCTTTTTAAAATTTTTTTATTTTTTCACTCATCATTTATTTACAAATACACATTATAACTTTTATATACATTGCACATTTACATGGTAGAAAAGTACAAAACTATATATTTAAATGAATTTTTATTTAACTTGCCATGTTTGAAAATATAAAATTGCATCAGAAAAAAAGGATTATGAAAAGCAAGAAACTTGAACTGAGAAAGCTCTGCCATAACGTGTAGTGACACACCGGTTGAAAAAGAACGAATTTAAAGGTACAGGAGCCCAGCTTCCAGAAAACACCCAACGAAAGGCGAGTGTGCAGCACCCCCTCGGGCAGCCCCCCGACACCCATCACTCCATTTCTTTGGATCGGGAACATCTTAAAAGTACTGATTATTGGAAGTCTCAGGTCACCATCATCTCAGTCTCGCAACCGTCTCCGTCGCAACCAGAGAACTGAAGCAGGAGTTTCCTCAAAGCTGGCGCCCCTGTACCTCCGGTCGGAGCCAGTTACAATGCCGTTTGGTCAGTCAAGATTCCTTGTAAACAAAACCCGAGGGATCGTGTACGTACAGAACAGGCAGCAGAGAATCCAATAAATAAACAGGACACACCGACATGCAAGTGCGTTCAAGTGGAGCAGGGCCTGCGGACGGCGCGACGGAGGGGCCGGGGGAGTTCGTGACCGGGAAGGAATGGTTCGATGGTTTACAAGGCAAACAAAGCTTTCACTTTACAAGCAAGAGACCTCACAATAAATAACAACTGCTCTTCCTTTCACGAATAAATTTCTTCAAAAACAAGGTGTACAGTCAACCAGACATTTTATGTATAAATTATAAAACATGACACAGTATAAATAAATGTCTACACGTCTCGACGACGGGCCTCATCCAGCAGACCTCACAAGGCGGCCCCTCTGGGTCCGAGGAGTGACAGGTGGCCTGGGAGAGAGCTGGAGGACCAAGGTCCTCTGTGGATACTGTCCCCCCAAATAAATAAGCATACACTTATGTACAGTATGGACAATATATATTCTTTCTTTCTTTCCTTTTTGTTTTCTGCCCGGAGGCTAGGCCAACCTGAACACGGCTGGCGGCTTTACCACTCTAGAATGGAAGATATGGGGAAGCTGTAGTCCTGATCTTCGTCTTCCTCCTCTTCCTCAGTGTCTTCCGAAATGGCTAGATGGGGGAACACAGGGAGCTGCTGTTTAATGCGGACAACACCAGCGCAGAGCCGCTCAGGGTGCGTGGCCACGCCCTCTGCCAGCCACTTTACAGCGGTGACTTGTACGTGACTCACAGGGAGATGCTTTATTTTATTTTATTATTTTATTTTTGGCATCTGCTCTTCTGCAACACGTTTTTTAAAAAATACTTAAAAAAAAACCACCAAAAACAAAAAAACACCACCATAATCTATGAAGTCAACAACTGCAGAAAGTTCTGAAGAATCAATGGCTCAGGTTTTACGGGCAGATCCTGAAATCAGATAAAAAGCGTTCTTGTGTTCTAGGTACAACTGCTTTGGGTCCTTATTTCAGAGTTAGCGGAGGCGACTGCGCGCAGCAGCCGCGGGCGCGCGGGATAACAGAAAGCTGCCTTTGAGAAAGAAAACAACAACAACTTCTGAAGCAGTTAGTTTAGGTTCAAGGGTTAAGGAAGCCCACAGCCAAGCACAGGACTACGGCCAAGGAATTAGGGGCACGGGCTCAGAAGAGGCTTTTAGAGGCAGCCCCGCTGGATGGTCAGGGGACACATCCCAGGGACTGCGCCTGCGGCCACGGAACTGCTGGCGGGGTTGAGCAGCTACCTAGCTTCAAGGGCAATGCGCCGTAACGGGTGTGCATCTCCGCTCCCTCGGGGCGTGGCTGGGAAGCCTTAGGTTGGAGCAAGTTGAAAACAGCACTTACAGTTGCAAGATCCGGAGTGCTTCACTTCCAGCAGCACGCCCGCGGAGCAGGCCGCCTCCTTCATGGCGCACTCGCTGGCGTAGGTGGCGTTGTCGCTGGCACAGACGGGCTCCTCGGACTTGCTCTCCGGGCACAGCTCGTCGCACAGGGAGCACCGGCCTCGGCCAACCTTGAAGTCCCATAGACACTTCTTCCCAGCACTGCAGGGGATGTCCTCACAGGACTTTGCTTCTAGGATATAATGGACCTGTGATGAGTACGTGGACTCCCTCTGTCCCCCTTCGCTCCCTTCCTCTACTTCTCTATCAAGAAAGATAAATATCCAATGTACACCCTTTTCTGTTTTGTTTTGTTAATCCTCACCTGAGGATATTTTTCAATTGATTTTTAGGGAGAGTGGAAGAGAGGGGAAGACAGAGAGAGACATCGATGTGAGAGAAACACATGGATTGGTTGCCTCCTGCAGGAGCCTCGGCCAGGGCCCAGGCCAGGGAAGAGCCTGCAACCGAGGTATGTGCCCTTGACCAGAATCGAACCCGGGACCTTTCGGTCCACAGGCCCACTGAACCAAACTGAACCAAACTGGCTAAGGCTAAACACACAACTTACATTTTATTGTTCGCTAACGGGGGTAATGAAGATATATGATGCAAAATGCTTGATAATAAAACGGAAATACACACAAATCCCCCCAGTTTCCTACATACTATATGTGTGCATGAAAATAGTATTTCTGGAACAGGATTCCAGTGTCCTAGAGCTAAATATGCATTGAAGCTTCCCCACGGTGGGATCTTAAAAAAAAGAAAGTGTTCCATCCGTTATCAGAACCCAATGACAGCTGTGAAGAACTGGTAAGTAATTACTTCTTGCTCCCAGCCAGTCTAGCACTTAGAAAGAATGTGCCAAATCGAGTGAGTTCTATGTTTTCTAAGACAGAAAACTGTTTCCTGTTTCAGAATAGATGGCAGCGCTTCGGGAAGACAACAGCTTCCCCGGGGAGCACGGGGCCACGGGGGAGGATTTCTCTCTTTGGCGAAACTGCAACTGGGAGGCGCTGGCTTCTTCACTGGTTAACCCCGCGGTTTTAACGCCAGACCTGGCCGTCTCCTTCCTACTTTCTCTCTTTGTTTCTCAATCCGGAATACCTACTGATACACTTTCCCTCGTAGGCCAGTCCGATGGACCTGCCCAGGAGGCAGGTAGCCTTCCGCAGGTGACAGGCGCTGGAGTAGGTCACCCCGTCGTTGCCACACAGGTACTGTTCCGAGGAGGTGGGCTCCGGGCAGACCCGGTTACAGGTCACACAGTAGGCGTTATTGGTCTGGTCCACCACACACGTGGAGCTTCCTGGACAGAAGACATCCCGGCAGGTCTCTGCAACAGTGAGGGAGACACGTTAGCAGGCAGTGTCCGGTCCTCGGGAGGGAGGATCCAATGTGATCTAGGAAATCCCCAACCAAAGGCAGCTGGGGAGCCCTGAGGGATTCAAGAGCAAACCTATGACTCTAGGTATGGGCCTTTCTGTGGTATTTTCCTTTTAAAATATATTTTTATTGATTTCAGAGAGGAAAGGAGAGGGAGGGAGAGAGAAACTTCAATGATGAGAGAGAATCATTCACCGGCTGCCTCCTGCACAGCCCACACAGGGATCAAGTCTGCAACCTGGGCATGGGCCCTGACTGGGAATGGAACCGTGACCTCCTGGGTCATAGGTCGATGCTCGGCCACTGAGCTATGCAGGGGCCCTCTGTGTTCTGAAGGAGCCTTTGGAAGCTGGAAAGTGTTCCTTTAGTTGGGCTCTTCTTGACCATCACTAGGCCCCTCCTGGGGACCGCCCACGCCCGGCCCCAGCTGGGTCACTTACTTTTGCATTTGCCCTGGTACTGGACCTCCAGTTCCGGCTGCTCCTTGCACCTGGCCTTGAGGAGTGCACACTCGTTGCGGTAGGTTTTGCCATCCAGGCCACAGACCGGGCCTTTCCAGGTGACGTTGGAGCAGTCCGGGGCGCAGACGCAGCGGGGTTTGTTCTTCTTGTTCATGCGGCATTTCTTCCCGGGTCCACAGTCCACGTTCTCGCACGTTTCTACCAGTTGGAAAGAGGCAGGGATTGAGCGGGGCCAGGTCTGAGGCAGGTCAGCAGGACCTCTGCACCGGGGGAGGCCTTGCGCAATGGTGCACGCGGCGCCCCAGGGGCCCAGGCTCCCTCCCAGGAGTTGGGGAGGGTGGAGGGGGAAGGGAAGGCCAGTGGGCCTCGCCCCAGACCTAGATCTCTCTCCAAGAGCCCGGGTGGCTGGCCTCCACCGCCACACTTGGCCAGGCAGCCCCGGAGCCTCCGCCGACCTTGTTTTGCGTAAAGTGTGTAACAGGCACGACTCCACCCAGCTTCCCGGGGCTGGGGGACGGGGAGGGGACCGGGCCCAGGGCTGGGCCGAGGCCCACCTTTGCAGGGGATGCAGTTGGGGGCGCCCCCGTTGAAAATCATCCACTTGAAGAGCGTGTTGTCGTTGACGTCCTCCTCGGTCCACGAGGTGCTGAGGCGGCCGGTGCCGCAGCACTCCTCCTTGCTCAGCTCCGTCTTGTACAGCACCTGGCAGCGGCCGTTCCGGGCCTGGCGCAGCCAGCAGTTCCCG